TGAACTGATTTTCCTGCTAAATGCCAGACCAACATGATCTGGTGATTGTTTCCAAAACAGATCTTTTGATTTTCTTTCTTTCTAGAAAATGTCCTATTGGCATACACATTAACCATTTACATTAACCATATACATAACCAGGATTTGCCACACAATGACATTACCATTGGCACTTCCCTATGGTGTTGTGTTGGATGGGAAACAGCTGGTAGGCTTGCAGTAAAGGTTTGATCTTTAAGGAGGAGCTGGACTCTCAGATAAGAGAGAAAACATCCCAGGGCAATAGTTTTGTCATCTACCTAGGAATTCGAGTGAAGAATATTTGTTTTAAATAATGTTATCACAATCATAGCATTGAAGAGTGCTTATCACAGGAGCCATTCAGTAAGTGGTTGTTGCACCAGAGATGAGATAATGGCATGCAGCAGAACACTTGGCTGAATAAGGACACTGTGCACAGGAGCTGGTAAACAGGTACTGTTCAGTTCAAACTGTGGAAGTGGTGGGGGGAAGGAGTGAGGGCGGGGCTTGCAAGATGGGCTGGGATCAGTGTACGAAGGATCCCAAGCTAGCCACTGAGGGTTGTTCAATGGGGTAGCGGCCCATTTCTATCTATTTCATAAGTTATTTTAGAAAGACCATTGTGGGAACAGTGGAGACAATCAATGGATAAGAGCAGGGAGCAGTTAAGGCACCACCGCAACAGAAAGATAAGGGTCAGAACTCCCGCTGTGGCAGTGGGAGACCAGGGAAGGCACGGAAGGCCTTGAGAACACTCAGGTCGACCCGAAAGCTGTTGATCACTGCTGATTAAACAAGAAAAGGGAGTCCCAGAACAGGAATGGGTTGGGGATGCAGGTGGAGAAAACAGATAATCAGCTTAGTCTGGGACGTGCTGGGGGCAGTGCATTCAAAACCACCAGAAGTACAGTCCGCAGGCAAACACTGCAGAGGCAAAGCTGGTGCCAGTGACAGGGGCTGGAGAAGCTACAGCATGGAACGCTGCAATACCAGCACTGGGCTATGAACTGCTGCTTGTCCTCCTGATAATTAGGACATGGATTATTTCACTGAATTTCATTTCACCTGGACAAAATACACAACTAAGTATATAAAAATCAAGCATCTGATTACCAAATTTCAACTCTTGAGCTGTACACAAGTCCAAATAAAATTATATGCAAAAATTTCAAACCACCAAAACAATAATAATCTCATGAAGGTATTAGGTGCTATGTTCAAACTTGATTAATTAAGAAAGGTAAATTTGTTAAAGCCAAAATCAGCCATGAAATCTAACAGATTTATGAAAAAGATAAAACCGTAGAAACAATAAAAAATTAAACTTCAACAGATGCAAATTGCTGTTTGAAATTTTAAAAAGTGTTCTTAAGGCCGGCGCTGCGGCTCACTAGGCTAATCCTCCACCTGTGGGGCCAGTTGCTCCTCTTCCAGGCCAGCTCTCTGCTGTGGCCCGGGAGTGCAGTGGAGGATGGCCCAAGTGCTTGGGTCCTGCACCCGCATGGGAGACCAGGAGAAGCACCTGGCTACTGGCTTCAGATCAGCGCGGTGCGCCGGCCACAGTGGCCATTGGGGGGTGAACCAACGGAAAAGGAAGACCTTTATCTGTCTCTCTCTCTGTCCACTCTGCCTGTCAAAAAAAAAGTAAATAAAAAAAGTGTTCTTAAAAGGTCTTCAGCTGGAAACCATCATATTTGTGAAATCAGTCAGTTCCCAAAAGACAGACATTGTATTTTTTCCCTGACCTGGGGTAACTAATGGAGTACCTGAAATATAGTGGAGTAAAATGGACATTCTGAGATTCTATGGTTGTTTACAGCCCTTGCCTCTTCTGTTGAGGAACGGTGCCTTTTTTGCTTCATATATTTGTTAAACTTTTTACTTAGCGTAGGGTTAACCATATGATCATTAAATAAATTGAAAATAGGTCTTTGTAAAAATTAGGAGTGGGAATAGGAGAGGGAGTAAGAAGAGAGGGAGTGTGGGTGGGAGAGAGGGCAGGGTGGGAAGTATCTCTATGTTCCCAAATCTGTATATATGAAACACATGAAACTTGGACAACTTAGTTTTTAAAAATTACATATACCAAATAAAAAGCTCTTTAGCCCAATTCTAACAAAAAGGAACACAGACTCTTCATTAAATTTCTTGCGTTCATGGATGTCAATCATCACATGGCAGGTATGAAATTCAGGATATGGAATTCACATAGACCCTGCACCCTAAATGAAGGGCAGAGGAATAGAAAATGAACTTGGGGTTTTTACAATATGAAGGATGAACTTGATCAATGGGCACATTCCAATCTATAATTGACTTTCCTATGTTTTATTTTGATCACTTCTCTCACGTAAAAGCTAGCATTTTTATAAAAAAAATCCAACCCATTATCAAATTTCTTAAAAATGGCCCAAAATATTATGATAATTCCATAAACAAACAGACAAACCCCTCTATTACAAAAAATACCAACTTAAATGTCTCTGCCACTTTGGGTCAAATCTGAACCTCTCAAGACTGTTTGAGTACTCTTATTATATATTAGCTTAAGAAATGCCTCACAGAAAAGCTAAGTTCTGGTAACTGGATATTTCTGGAGTATTGAAATCATTCAATTCATGGGGAAACTGTACCCCTCTTTGAAGACTCTAATAGTTCTTTTGGCAGCACATTGTGTTACTTAATGTGTTAACAGAGTGCTGTCTTAAAAAATAGTGAGTTCTAAATTATCCTATTACCCAAGTCCAGTCATTACACATGCCAAGAGAAAGACAGAGCAAGCATTTTGCAATGACACTTGGTTTTCCTTCTCTGAAAAATACCAATGTAGCACATTTATAATCTTGGTTATAAATGACTTCCTATCACACTAAATGAAAATGACTAAAATCTCTCATGTATGCATAAATATCAAGATACTTTACTTTTTTCCCCTATCAATTCTTAAAAAAGTAGTGTGATTTGTTCTATTGTGAAAAATGACTTCAGTTTCCTTCCATTGGACAGCTGTGGGAATGAACTGTAAATGTTTCAAAGATTTAAATTTTTATAAAATGTTGCCATGATTAAGAAATGTTTCTTCCTCAACATCTTATAAAACAGGTAAGATTATAATACAGTAACTACCTTATCATTGATGTCAATAGAATTAAGGAAAAAAAATTAGGAACCAGAGAAGCCTAAAAATTTTAAGCAGTTCTCCCCATAAATAAGCCAAATGACTTGACATTTATCTACTTTCTTTCATTAAGTCTGTTACTTTATGACATCTGACACATATTCATCTTGTTAATTCAATACAGATTCTCAAAATCTTAAGGTTAAGCGACACATAACAAGGTTTTGGTCATCGATAGACTGTACATACAGTGGGGATCCCATAAGACTGCATCACACAGCAACGTCTTGGTTGTGTTAATTTGTGTAAGCACATTCCATGACGTTCACATAAGAAAATCACCTAACGACACCTTCTGATGCATTTTCCAGAATGTTTCCCCACAGTTAAGCCACACACGGCTATATAAGCTCTTCCTGCAAATGTCAAAGAGAAATTAAGTTCCTCTTTCTCCAATTACATCTAATGTACAAGTTTCAACACCAAAGCACAGTAAAGGAATAAAATCATATTAATGCACAGTGACTCTAATTTCTGAATTTCAGATGTTAATGATTTAAACCTTTGTGCTTCAGTCTGGAAAAATTAAATACTTTTAAAGAAGTTCATAATCATCGAAAGAGCCCCAATCGCTGTTTGCATCACATCTGGCAATAATGAAGACAAATTAACAATGAGATTTTGAAAACCTGGCAATATGATAAAGCCAAAGCATATGAAACTGCTTCTCCGTACTAAAGTCACCGGTGGTCCCAGGAAGGATCGACTTCCTGTCTTGGATTCTGGCATTGAAATTAAAGGAGGGAAACCTTACTGCAGTCTGGGTTCTAGGCTCCTGGTTCACAAACAGCAAAAGTCTAAACTCACTGGGCAGGAAAACCTCATCCCCAACACATCCTGGGAAGAATCTGCTTTTCTTATAGCTGCTTTCAATTTAGCTCAAAGAAGTGACAATGGCATAAAGTCACACCTTCAGGCATTTATTAACTCCTTTCATGTTATCCAACTTACCTTGGGCACGAGGCTTTTTCTTTACACTACACATATGAACACCAGAATTATTAAGCCTAAGAATTTGGTCCCATACAATTAAACTCTCATCTAGTTTTGAAAATATGATTACATTCATTTCTGTCTATGTAAGCGCCAGTTATATAATGACATTTTCATCCAACACTATTTAAAAGAAAAGTTTTAGGCAGTTTTATGTGCTTAAGTAATGGACTCCATACTTACTTTTTAACAAGTAGAGCTGTGATGACCAAAGTAGGAAAGTATTTTGTTAACTCTTAAAGAATGTTGCAGAAGGGCATAGAAGTATCATTTTCACACAAGCTACTCACCCAGCAAAAAAAAATCAGCAAGAATGGAAAATAATTCCACCAGCATTCCATTACAACCTGGCACAGTGGTTGAAAATTTACCTCGGCTACAGCCACGTTAGCTTTAGACATGCGAAATAAATAACAAAAGGGATGGCGAATACGGCAGAAGGTATTAGACCACCTAAGGCACTGCTAAAATTTAGGAAACATGCATTCAGCAGTGACCTAAGCACTGGTTTTTACACTATACCACACCAGACTGCAGAAACATACCTTTTTCTGCTGGTAGTATTAGGAACAAACTAACATGCCTCCAATTTTTGTTTACATACTTCTCATTTACAATGTGCTTGCACACATACCAACCTGATAGGAATCTGTATTACAATTCTGAGAGGTAAGCAACATGGCCATTTCTGTTCCTCCCTTAATGAGCTAAGTACAGTTTTCATCAATGTGAGATATAATACTGTGAGGTAATTAAGCCAAGAAACATGTTGAAAACAATATTGCTATTGTATAAATGGGGCTCAGCATTGGCATGACACATTTTATTAGATGTAATGTGCAAAATAAGATGAAGTGACCTCTATCCAAAAAAGATACAAGACAGTTATTATTTAAAATGCTTTAGTACTCACTTTCAATAAAAAGAAATCTGGCATTATAAAAATACATAAAATAGTCATGGATTTATACCATTAATTTACATAAGATACTTTTTTGGCATAAAACAAAGTTATAAAATAGTTTAAAGGGGTATTTTTATATGAAAGTTATTTCCAGTATAAAATTTTTATAACTTTTTGTAATTTTGGTTCATCTGTATAAATAAGGCATTTTGTCCTTTTAAAATTCATAGCTCCATTTAAAAACATAGGATTCTCTCTCTTTTAAATAAAGTCCACTTGAGGTAGTATGTTAGAATTTTCCCTTGGTCCCATTCAGTCTATGTGTCCAAGTCGTAAGACTGACAATTTGGAGTCCTACTGTTTTCTATGGTCTGTTTATAGGAACATGAGTGATTTTCTTGCTGAAAATCTGTCCTTTCTCTCTCTTCTTCCTCTGACTCAGAGTCCAGGTCTGGGGAAGACGGAGGTTTCAAGTGAAAGGCTCTGGGCTGGCCATCTGGCGTCTGTCCAGAGCCTGCGAAGGCGTCTAGGTAAGGTCTCCTCAGAGGTTTTCCAAACGTACCTGTAAGAAAAGAAAGCTCCCTTGAGCACACAGGTCAACAGAACTCATTACGAATCTCGAGGCACCTGAGCCATGAACACGCAGGGGTTGTTTTTGCAAGTGTACACCTACAATGTATCTGGATTGTCTGTGCGTGGACAGAACACGCACACGGTGCCTGCATACCCCAGTGTGGACAAGCTGATCACTGTACTGAGGGCAGGGTGTGCATGCTCCCTCTTATTTACAGCCATGAAACAAATGCATCGAATCTCTACCACTTCTCATGGCCTAAAGTAGCATAAATCATTGCACAAGGAAGTTGCCCAAATCTTAGCTTCAGTTCGCAAGGGCTCGTAACTCTTCCAGGAGTGCATCTGCAGAGTAACAAAAAAGGGAACTGTGCCTGAACCCAGAAAAGTTTCTATCAAAATAATCCTTTCTTACTCAACTGTGGCAAACCCTTATTCAATTCCTATCTTCAGTCCGTAAAATCAATTACAATCATTTTCTCAAAAAGGAATAGGCAAAATACAGAATTTCTTAAAAGCTGGGTAAAATGTTTTAAAATTCTACTTCGCTTAATTTGGGGGAAAAATTAAAAAAATAAAACACAAAAATAAAAAAAAATAAAATAAAACAAAGCAGGGCAAGGTAAGGCATCTTGTCCCATATTGCTCCATTCAGCAAAAGGCGGATCTGTGTTCTTCCGTCCGCTGTTCCCACCCTAGACCCGCACGTCCACCGTGGGCTCAAGGCTGCGGCCGCCTCCTTCTGCCAGAGGTGGCCGCACTGGTCTGAGTGGCGGCTGCTGCCAGGTAGGATGGCGCTCTCCACCCTGCTTCTGCGGGTTCAGCTAGCAGCCGGCAGACACGGCAAGCCACAGTCACGCCGAGCGCACGGCCCCGCCCCGAAGGCTGCTGGAGCCCAAAACCACTTTTTCCACATGGCTGATGAGCTGAGCTCCTAAGCCACTCCCCGAGTTCTGGTCTCCCAGACGATGCCACCCACAGCGTTACCCAGAAAACTCCTAAGGGTGATCTTAGACACAGATTAAATACATAATCAAGAAAAATCCCCACGTCTGCCTTTGCACTTAGAAATACTTAAAACTAACTAGTTAAAAAAAAAAAAAAAGAAGAAAAAGACTCTGTTGTCACCCATGTGACACTCACAGAGCACCGCTCTCCCACACACGGCCTGAAGTAGGGGCCCCGAACCAAGGCACCTGGGGATCTAATCAACATACCCATGAAACAACTACTTGAAGTAACGGCTGCCGGCTCCGCGCTGGTGCTGAACTCTAGAGAGGACTTGTGTAGGCACGCATTTTTCATGCCAGGGCCCTCATTCTGAGCATAGCCGGAGTGGATCAGCGTCCTCACGTGGGGGGGCCACCCCATGGTACTGCAGCTCCGCTCGCAGGAATCCTCCGCGGGGTGAGGACCGGGGTGGCACTCCTTCTTGACGTAACTGGGCTCACAGTGGTCCAGCAAAGCTGCTCTCGGGTCAGGACTGCAGCCTGTTTAATTGGGGAATGACATCAGAGGCAGACGCAGTTAGTGCGTCTAGGAGTCTCCCTGGGCAACAGAACGGGCCCTGCAAGCGAGAAAAATCACATACCGGCATGGTAGGCTTCCAGCGGCTCAGAGCTGTACCCACTCCCCTTCAAATACACAGGGCCGGGGGACCCTACGAAGGGACAAAGGAGCGGATCCGTGGCAGCTTCCACCTCGGCTTCACTGCTGTTGTCAACGTGGCAGTTCCCTGGACAACAAGAAACCTGCGTCACTGCACCTGCACCGGTTTTATTCAAGAGCCGTTCAACATTCTAAGGTGGCGAGCACTTTCTCTACTTCTAGATGGAAGTCCAGCTGAAGAAAAACTGCAGGAATGACAGCACGCTTAGAATTTCTGTTGGTGTACGCATTAGTAATTGCATCCACCTGTGACAGCTCCCTCCAAAGGCCTTGATGCACCCCTGTGCTAGGTGTGTCCCCCTTGTTCCTTTGCCCTAGCTGGTTTGCAAGGGATAGTGATCAGGGTGTGTGTGGATCCTGGGGTCAAAGCACCCAGGGTCTGAACCACAGCCCATCAGTACTGCCCCCTTCCTACAGAAGGTCACAGAAGACCAGAACCAGGACTGGGCGTTTGACAATGACCTCACATCGCAGAGAAATGATAGGCCAGTCAGGAGTGGACACAGCAGTCTGAGGCAAAGCAACATCATCAAGATCAGAATTGTGGAGGCCGGCGCTGTGGCATAACAGGTAAAGCCACTGCCTGTGGTGCTGGCATCCCATATGGGCACTGGTTCAAGTCCTGGCTGCTCCAATTCCAATCCAGCTCTCTGCTATGGCCTGGGAAAGCAGTGGAAGATGGCCCAAGTCGTTGGGCCCCTGCACCCGCGTGGGAGACCTGGAAGAAGCTCCGTTCCTGGCTTCAGATCAGCCCAGCTCTGGCTGTTGCGGCCATTTAGGGAGTGAATCAGTGGATGGAAGACTTCTCTCTCTCTCTCTTTCTCTTTCCCTCTCCTTCTCTGCCTCTGCCTCTTGGTAACACTGTGTTTCAAATAAATAAATAAATCTTAAAAATATATATCCCAGGTGTCACAACAGGCCGTGGGCCCGGGAAGCAGTCTGAGGTGAGGGGCAGTCCAAGGGAGAAGCAGGCCTGCAGAACGTATCACCAATGCTCCGCCAGGAGACCCACCTAGGGTCCAGTCTGTGCCACTTGTGTCCCGCAAGCTTAGCACTGACGTCTGCTCAGTTGACCACTGACCCCATTATATTCCAATGAGCCAGAGCATCTGCCCTTCGCCACCAAACAGGTCTCAAGAAGTCTCCCTTGCACGCTCAGCTCAGCTCTTCTAACCTGATGCCCCATCACTGCCTTGCCAGGCACTTCGTAAGTTTTTAAAAACTGTTTGTCTCACCACTGACTAAACTGTGAAACTGAAAACAACTTCCCTCCCAACGACCAAGTCTGGCACAGAGCAAACACTCAATAAATAAACACCTGTGGGAAAAGAGGGCAAAATGTTTGAAAACAACGTCAACAGCTTCCACTTACTGTGTCCCTAACGTGCGCCAAGCGCTGTGTAGTCCTCCGTTCTCTGGATTTCCACAGCCACTCGTGGGAAGGCACTAACTGCCCCGCAGCACCCAGGCGCGAGGGCTTAAAGCAAGCCTGGCTCCTGCCTCGTGCTGCCTGTCTCTCTTCCCAAAGGCACACAGCATTGAAGCAAACAGTCAACCCCTAACATAATGACTTCAACTCATTTCTCTTTTAATGTTTAAGGAAGGCCATTCAGGGCCCCCAAACACTTGCAAATGTAAACGAAATATTACATTGCACAGAATAATTAAAACTTCTTAATCTGCCTGTCTTCTTTTATTACCAGAAACAAAGATTTTTTTCCCCATAGGCATGAGAAGGATACAGCACTGTTAATTTCAGCCTTGCTAATGATCTTGGGCCAGGTCCTGAATACCACCAGTGTATGTGTTTCTCGTGAAGATGCGTTTTAGATCTGAGCCCTCCCCCACAGGACTTCGAAACAACGACAGTGCCGTGTTCATCTTAAACACTCACCATTACTATCGTGCTGCGGCAAGAAAAACCCGCCGCTGGAGGTCGTGACGAACTGGTGGTGGCTGCCACTCTCGGAGGAGATGTAGCCATCCTGTCTGTCGGCTAAGGTCCCCTGGGACGACAGATAACTGGGGATATCTGCAGGTAGGTTGGTCTCATCTGTAACCACACAACAGCACGCTACTGATGAGAACAATCGGAATCATCCCAGAGGCTTCCTGGAGGAGCCGCCCCAGCTGCTTCCATCCCTGCACGCGGCCAACAAGGGCAGATCGGCTGCTGGCAAAACCAGCTTTGTCTGTCACACCCAGGAGAGGCAAACGGGGGCTGTGGTGCTCTGGGCAGCCTGAGCTGCTTTGGCTACTCAATCACGCACTGGACTCACCTCCCAAATTTCAAAACCGACACCAGTTTAAAAGATAAAGGCTTGGGAATTCTCACGGCATCCTATCTAAGCTCTCAAATTCGGCTTGATTTCTGCCATGTGTGCAGCTTCCCTGAGTTTGTTCACACGCAGGGAGCCTCAAGGTCAGAAAGAGAGCAAACTGGCCACGGAGTTTCTGAAGCTCCTGGTATTACTCAAGTCACAAACCCCTTCCCTATTAATAACTAAAATCCCTACAAGACGCACGCACGCGTGCACGCTCTGACAAAACAAGTAACGGCCTCAGAGAGGAAGCTCACAACTGCGTATCTGGGGCTCTGTCACCAGACTGTTTTACGCTGTGATTTAGAGTCTACCTCGCAGCCACAGAATGTTGGGATGAGCTTTAACAAAAGGTATGATTTCTACACACCAGCCTTCCTGCAGGCCAGTATTATGTTTGGCTAGCACACAGTCACCCTCCTGACCACAAGCACACGCGGCCCCTGCTCACCCACCTGTGTTGGTGATGCTGCAGTCCTCGTTCCTCCGCCTCGTGTGGTAGATGATGATCACCCACACGAGCGACGTGCCCACCACGCAGCAAACCACCGCGATGATCACCACGCCCACGGTGGCCCAGCCGTCGTCGGCCAGCGCCGGCGCGGTCATCTGTGGGGAGTCGCAGGTGGGAGTGGGGATCACGCTGAGGCGCACGTGGCCCCTCTCCGTGCCAAGGGTGTTGGACATTTCGCACGTGTACTTCCCGGCGTCGCTGACGTCCGAGTCCACGATAATCAGCAGCTGATTGCCTGCCGCGAAGAAGTGCCTTTCGGTCACCACCAAGGGGCTGTCGTCTTTGGTCCAGTTGAGCTTCGGGGGAGGGCTGCCGCCGGCGATGCACTGCAGGACGGCCGTTTCGCCCTTGGTGACCGTCCGGTCTAACAGGGGCCGCAGGAAGGAGGGTGTTTCTGAAAGCACAGGGATGTTTTGCATTTCCTAAGTGAAATTCGGTTTCCATTATCTCCCTCATGTCTTTACAACCTCGCACTCAAACGTGTTCCTGTAACATCTGACGCCCACGCGTGCCTAGACTCGTGCGCTAAGACGCCGAACATGAACAGCACTTGCACATCTGGGATTTCATTACTCTGCTGTCGTTTGCTCGTAACAGAAGTCAAGGATCATACTGACTACTGTTCGTCTTTATCTCTACCTCCTTGACTCTTACCAAGGCTGGGAAATTGATGGTGGTGGGGCAGAAACATTTCAAAGACTTTTTTTTTAATCTATAAGAAGTAATTGCAGGCGTAAGAATGTGTTGATGGGTGGAGGAGGGGGAAATCAGAGGGAAACTTCCTAGTTTCTGGCAGTCACAGATAAAAGCCTGAAAATGATTTATTTTGACTCTTTGCTTCTTGATCAATGTGTTCACAGTTTTAGAAAGCATTTGGTTAGGTGCAAGATTTGAGAAGGGGAGGTGAGGGGAGGCCTGGAGAATGGAGGTGAGGGGAGGGGTGGAGAGGGGAGGGGAGAGGAGGGGAGGGGAGAGGTAGAGAGGAGAGGAGGGGAGAGGAGAGGTGAGGAGGGGAGAGGAGAGAAGGGGAGGGGAGAGGAGAGAAGGGGAGGGGAGGAGAGGAGAAAGGAAAGGAGGGGAGAAGAAAGGAGTGGAGGGGAGGAGAGGGGAGGGGAGAGGAAAGGAGGGGAGGAGAGGAGAGGGGAGGGGAGGGGAGGGGAGGGGAGGGGAGGGGAGGGGAGCGGAGGGGAGAGGAAAGGAAGGGATGAGGGGGGGAGGGGGGAGGGGAGAGGAGAGGAGAATCCCGAGTTCCAGAGCAGTATGGAAGGATATTGGCGCTTCCCAGTCTGTTCCCTTAACATTTCCTTTATACTGTTCCCAGTCTGTTCCCTTAACATTTCCTTTATACTGTTAGGACTGTGGAGACTGTGTGAGTGCACAGCAGAGGACTCCCCTGCAACAAGGGGGAGCATGGGAGCTTTCTCATTCCCCTCTCCTGGGAACACAGGGGGCACATGCATGCCGTGGGCTGCAGACTTGAGGCTGCGAGGCGGCTTGCGCCTTCGAAGCTGCCCGCAGACCATTTGCTCTTTCCTCGGAAAGCTCTAGCCGCGCCCCGTGGGTTTTCACCTCTCAGCCTCACCGCCCCGGCCTGCTGCTTACCTAGGACGGTCAGCGTTGCGTTGGCGGAAATGCTGCCTGCGCTGTTCTGGGCCGTGCAGCTGTACACCCCGATGTCCTCGATCTTCACGTCCACGATGAAGAACACGTCGTCCTCGGGCATCACGTGCATGCGCCTCTCCCTGGCCGCAGGGAAGTCTGTGCCCCCGTCCTTTTGCCAGGCGATCTGCGGGGCTGGGTGCCCCACGGCGGCGCACTCCAGCCGGGCCATGGCCCCGGCGCGGATGGTGAGGTCCATGGGGGTCTTGGTGAAGGAGGGGAGCACTAAAACCAGAGAAACAGCGCAGGCACAGGCCTGAGTGCGTGGGCCCACCAAGGACTCCCTGCACTCCTTGTTAAACCACCACTGTCCCTGTCCCTGATGCTGTCAAGGCGGGGGGGGGCTTCCAATTTTAAGATAAGGAAAGGAGAGATTGAGAAATGCGCTCAGGGTTACACAGGCAGAAAGATGATGGAGCCAGGACGAAACACCGGCCACCGACCCTGGGACTGAAGGTCTTGCTGCTGCGCCCCGGCCACTGTTCAGCTTCCTCCACAATTAACGATGAGACAGTGGCCAAATCAATTCATCCCTTCCTCCCTACCATTCACCGCCCCACCACTTATTTTTTTTTTCTCTTCTAGAAGACTGAACATTCTACGGCCTGTGGTATGAATTCCATCCTGAGTCTCAAACGCCAGGCTGTTCTGTGTTGCCCAGCCTCCGCAACCACTGGTTGAACTGGATGCGTAACTGAATCAAATCCAAAAGCTTCTGCCACAGCAGACGCAGAGGGTTAAGTGATAAAGCGGCAAACTGTAAAACTGCACGCCTGCCACGCCAGGCAATCGATAACACACTATTAGTACTAGGGGTGCTAACATTTATTGTATTCCCTGAGCACTGTCCATACCCCAGCCATCTGCGAGTCCTCTAGACGGGATGATTTATTTAAAGCACATAATACCTCCAAGGAGGTAGGCAGTGTCATCCCTAAGGGAAAGATGGGGAAACAGAGGCACGGAGGCCTTGAATAACTTGCGCAGGATCACACGGTTACAAGAGCAGTGCTAGGATTCACCCTAGGACCTCTGAGTTAGAGGCGGTGTGCCTTCACGTCGGACCCTGCGACCTCCTCCGTCCGCCTGGCGCATTGTGAACTCCCAAGGAGTAAAACCACGGAAGGTTTCTCTCTACGTGCCCCAGCCACCTTCAGCAAAGCTAATTACTGACTTAGATCAAAATAATCAAGAGTCTTCATGTCGTGGACAGGCAAAGGGAGGGTCTGGTGGGGAACTGTGCGAGCAAAAGACAGGGTTAGGAATGGGAGAGAAATTTGGTGCCCTCACAGGGATGTTGCAAAGGAAAGTGACCACGTACTGTTGACGGTGAGCTTGGCTTTGACGGAGTAGGACGAGCCGAAGTGGTTGGAGATGACGCACTGGTATTTCCCTTCACTGGCGAACTCCACGTTCCGCAGGCGGAGGATGGTGGTGTACTCCATCACCTCGCCGCCCTGGGCCCGCAGGTGGGCGTAATTTTCCATCTCAGCGTCGTGCAGCAGCTCGTTGTCTTTTTTCCAAGCAAAAGTCATGGGGGAGTCGCTGCTGCTGGCAGCCGAGCAGATGAAACTCAAATTGGAGCCCTTTATTGCCGCCTGAGTTTCTGGCTGAACGGTGATCTGCGGTTTGGGAAAATCATCTGTGCACGATGGAGAGGAGGAAACAGAACAACGTGATGAAGGTTCGAGAGTCCCAGAGCTGCCCCAGTCGGAACACCGGGACATGCGAAACACAGCAACTCAGGTTTTAGCCTGCGTGGATGTCTTATGGACAGACCAGCAGCCCCAGGGCGGAAGTGACAGCCTGGGACACAGTTATAAAGCAATCCCTTCATTTCAAGCAGAGACAGACCTAGCTATCAATCATTAGTACCCGAGAGGAGACTGTGGCTTTGGGATGATCAGAAAACCCACGGTGTATTCCAGACCCCCTGTGCGCCACATGCCAGGCCCCGGAGCATCTCTGAATGCTACAGTCAGGAGCTGCAATTTTCCTTACGTTCTCCACAAACACAGAGCAGGAGAATTAAGAAACCAAACATCCATCGCGATCATCAATATCACTAAAGACAGCAATTAGCATCCCATTTACCAAAAACAGAAGCCATAGTAAAAAGCAGCAATTTAGGCAGGGCCAAAAAAGAAAAAAAAAAATCCTGTTGCCAATGAAAACGTATCTCCAGAACTAGCTGCGAGGCGCTGGCTCTGCCCGGAGTTCGGAGCTGCCAATCAATCACGGTGCTGTGCTACACTGTCAAGGCTACATTATAATTAGAGCTAAGCGACTCTTTCATTCCACGCTGTTATTTTTAGTTCTGTTAGGCCTGTGGAAAAGTTACCTTTTTGAACTTCAGCTTCTCAGAGATAGTCTAAACCCAAACGGAAACATCTCAGATTTACCAACAGGTATTATTTGGGCCTTCTGAAACAAAATGTTTAGGTGTGTGACTGGGAGAGGGGGCGTGCTCTGGTAACTCCAAGGTTGCTCACTTTCCACGCTAAGCCTGCGTGCTGGAAGCCAAGATGGCTTCTTCCGTCTGGTTAGTCTGAAATTCCCATTGGATAAAACCAATGATCAGATTCACAATGACGGGAGTGGAGAAACCAAGGATGTTCTATGGATGTCGCCAGAAAATGGGGAGCTCATATTATGAGAGCAGAGCACTGTGCAGGAAAAACCATGGGAAAGGAGCAGCTCAGGCCCTTCCAGCAGGAATGCCAAAAGCTTATTCGGATCCAAAAGCTACAGCAGAGGTTTTATTTCCAGAAACCGTTGGCACTGTTAAATACTGCAACCTAAAAAAATATCATGTAGGCAAAGCAATTTTAAGTAAATTTTAAAATGCCAACATAAAATAAGGCTGCATAACATTTTAATACCGCTTACATTTAAGTGAATTTTGATTTCAAGTTTGATACTAACACATTCTTTAAAAAGTCAGCCAATAATAAATAGCAGTATAATGTAGCAGACAGAAGACAGTACCAGCAATTGTGAAAAGATGTTTTTAAATCCAGATCTACTACTAACTAGGGATGTGAACTTCAGTAAGCAGGTTTCCAATGCTGAGACTCCAGGATGCTAAGACAGAGGACCTCAAAAAAAAAAAAAACTTGCAATAAATTCCCACTTTCTATTACTCTCAACGCTTTGCCCACAGATAGCTAATGTTTTTGCAGCCCATAAATTAGCTAGTAAGTCTGTCTTTCACACACGCCTCCAACGAGCCCTAGAGTTGGAAAGAGCAGATAACGGAGGCCCCACTTCATGGAGCCAGACAGACACAAAGACTTAGGGGATGTAAACCAAGTAGAGAGCCTGGGACTGCCCTGCAATTCTCCCAAGCTCCAATTTCATTCTCTTTCCACCCAGCCACTCTGATGCCAAAACAAAGGCGAAGGAATTTTCGAAAAATGCTTTCCCATCTGCCAAATTAAAATAATCAGCAAAGTATAGCTCCATTTTCGTCTACCTCAGCACAAACGCACGCTGTCCTAGGTGAACCGAAAATCTGTGCAAAGTCCTCTTTGGACGCAGGGGAGTCAAAGAAGAAGGCCTCCAAGGCAAGAGCACTACTAATACTCACCACACACAAAGCCGTCTGGGCTGACGGCAAAAATGCTTCTCCCCTTCAGCAGCTGAGGATGGGCACAACTGGCGCTGACGAAGCTCTGGAAGTGGTTCTCTGCCACCCACTGAGGGAGCCACTTCAGCTGGCAATCACACAACAGGCTGGATGTATTTAAATGCCTGCGGAGAGTCATTACCTTCAATTTGCTGTGCACGCGACGCAGATTTCTACAAGTCAACTGAACTTAAGTAAATATTAACAAAGCAATGAATCTGGAAACCAAGGACACACATCCCACGTCAGAAACATTTCTTCGTCTGTCTGAAAATGCAAGAGCTGTACCTGGCATGGTTTTGTTGTTCTCCTCACTGTCCCACCGAGATAGAAGTGCTGATGGGTTCAAAATTCTTTCCTACTGAAAAGCTGCTACTAAGTGTACTAAGTTTATACTATGCTATATTTGGTCCCACGGATTTAAGTTGGGAAATCAGAACACAAAGACCAAGAAATTCCTCATTTTAATAGAGGGAACAAGTCACCAATTTCTTTTGTTTTCTGGTATAAAAATGAAGTAGTGCCAAGAAAGCGCCAGATGCATTTTGCAGGCACAGAAGCTAGGACGAGACATCACGGGACAGTCTCCCCCCTCTATGCTTTATATGAAGTTCTTGGAAGGAAAAGAAAAAGCTTACAGTTGCTGGAGTTTCTTCATTTGTGAAAAGGCATTGCCTTGTAAAGACATGATTGCGTTGTCACTCAGGTCTCTGCAAAGCAACCAAATCAAACCGATCAGAGCCAAGCACAGTCAGTGTGTATCCCCGGGCTTCGATGCACGCGTCAGGCAACTCTGGAAGAACCCCTTACAAGGCCCGGGCTGGGGAATGAGGCTATTTGTATCAGAGAGGGACTCTGTCATGGTGGACATGATGGACTTCATGGCACCACTTACAGGTCAGTAGTCTCACATGAGCCCAAGCAGTTGTGCTGTGTTATTGCATTTCCCCACATTCAAATTACTAAATTTTAAAGACACAAATAAAATTCTGCACGGTTATGCCTTCAGAAGAAACCCCATTTAGAGAACACTCTGATATACCCTCTGTTTGGTGTTTTCTATACACTACTGCATTCATTCCTAGAGCAAATGAAGATGGCCTTACCACCTAGCTCAGCATGAAGGCGGAAAGATAAGAGTGGAACCAATTATTCCCAGTTCCAAAACCTGTGCTTTTATAAGCACTGGTCCAATTCTGCCCCACACACAGCTCACTAATATAAAGGCAGTGAGATGTTCAGACAAGATGTACTCGTTAAAGCAAACAAACATTTCAGCCAGGACATTCATAAAATGAGAGGATATTCAGGGCCGATTTTATTTTTAACTAGTATTTACGAGTAGCTTGAATTCAAGTATTCTCCACAATGATTACTACTCTGTTTTTCTTTACAGGGGTCAGAGTGTACCAAAGGGATTCTGAGTGAGACAAGTGGCAACAGAAGACAAAGAAGGAAGGTGCCAGACCTGGGAGGGAAGGCGGCTGGGAAAGCAGAGGAAGGTTCAAGAAAGCTGCACCAGAAGTTAATACTCCTCTGATCCACTAATTCCACTTTCCCAGAAATGGAACGGGACTCATGACAAACCCTTCTGGCTAGTTTTCCTCTGAAAATAATCTCTCTCAGAAGTATAGCAAGACTGGCCCTCCCTTCCCTAACCCAGCTTTTGCACAATCATTTCATTGCTATCTGAATCTGGTCTAGAGAGTCAAACTCTCTTAGACCAACTGGGCGTCAGGAGATGACAATAAAGTGCTTGATAGATAACAGCAATCTTCACTGCACAAACAAATACAAAAACTGAAATGTGGATTTTTTTTTCCCTTAATCTGACAGACACAAAAGAGAGACAAGGAGAGGTTGCTTCCACTGAATCACTCCCTAAATGCTCACAACAGCTAGGGCTGGACCAGACACAAGCAGCAATCTAGAACTCAATCTGCGTCTCCCACGTGGGTGGGTGGCAGGGACCCAAGGACCTGAGCCATCACCCGCAGCCTTCCCAAGGCTCACAGTAGCAAGAATCTGGGATTGGGAGTAGAGTCTAGACTTCAGCCCAAGTCAAGTGGCATCTTAACTGCCACGCCAAATGACCACCCCTCCAATGTTCATTTTAAATTATCACTTCCTTCACTCAAGTTAACAGATATTAAACTTTGGATTAGAAGCGTTCCCTAATGGAGTAGACATATCACACAATATATATTTCTACAAAACTTTACTGTTCAAGTGTAAAACACCTAGCCACAGTTATAAGCACCTGGTTGGTTCAGTTAGTCAAGATATGGTGCTCATGCAGGTTTTGACTGCTTTGAAAGTGAGCTATCGTTCTTGTTCTACTGTCTAAAAATCCCTGAACTCCTAAATGTCACTTCAGAAATGGATGCCAGGCATTAGAGAAAGCGCATGCTGAAACTGTGCAGGCAAGAGCTAACGTGACGCAGGGACACAGAGAAAGCAGAGGCTCCTCTGTTTAGAGTTCTGCTCTGCCAGTTCCTACCTGAGGGGTAACAAGCGGACAAGAAAGAGAATAAGCAGGAAGATGGACTGTACAGTTAGTAATAAGACAACAGCAACACCACCACCATAAAAATTCTCTGGTTATGCTAGAATTCACACTACTGGGGCCAGAGCTGGAGTGAGACTGATTCTGGCTGTTCTGCATCCCATCCTGCTCCCTGTTAGCGTACCTGCAAGAGCAGAGGATCTTGACCCAAACAACTGGGCCCCTGCCCTGCAGACCAAGATAGAGTTCCAGGCTCCTGGCTTTGGCTTTACCCAGCCAAGGTCATTGAGGCTATGTAGGAAGCGAAGCAGCAGAAGGAAGATCTCATTCTCTGTCTCTTGCTTTCACTATGCCTTTCCAATACATAAAATAAACCATAAAAAGGAAAAACCGTACTACTTCACAATTTTTGTGCAATTTAAAAATTATTCTAAAATTTAAAAAAGGTAAAGAGATAAATGTAATGTCCCCCAAAACCCACCATGTCCAATGTTACTCTTCTTATTTTTCAAAGATTTATTTGAAAGACAGAGTTACACAGAGAGCAAGAGGGATCTTCCACCTGCTGGTTCTCTCCCCAAATGGATGCAATGGCCAGGGGTGGCTCAGGCCAAAGCCAGGAGCCAGGAGCTTCTTCCAGGTCTCCCAGTGGTTAAGATGCCACTTGGGAATCTTAACCATTTGAAGTGCCTTGCCTGAGTCCCGACTCTAATTTCCATTCAGCCTCCTGCTACAGCACGCCCTGGAAAGCTCATATGACGGCTCCAGCACTTCAGTCCCTGCTACCCAAGTGGGAGAGCCAGGTTCAATTCCCGGCTCCTGGCTTCAGCCTGGCCCAGCCCTGGCTATTGCAGGTATCTGGGAAGTGAACCAATGGATCTCTGTGTCTCTCAGTGATTCAAATACAATTTAAAAAAAATTATTTTACAAAGTAAAATCATAAAGATAAAAAAAGATGAGCTTATTTTGATGCCAAAAAAATTTCAAAACCTGTACTGCTTTTCTATAATACACATGTTCCATGACCTTTATAAAACCCCTCATAGGGGTTAAGTAAGTAGACAGGTGGGTAAGTAAATATGCACGTATCTGTTATGGTCCTGGGCAAATGGCAACAAAATCACATTCTAAATTATCGTTGTGACACATGAATAGGTTACTATCTCAGACCACCCCTAGGGTAACTAAATTCCAGCTACTCACAGATGTTCCAGTGCATCCAAACCAGTGAAGGCTTTTTTGGTAATAGATCGAATCCGGTTTCCCTGGAGTATCCTGAAAAAAAAAAAAATTATATCCCATTGGAACAGTTAATAAAAAAAGTCATTTTGGGGATAGAATTCAGGTTAAGAAGAACTGCTTTTTAAATGATTGGTGAATAATTCTATTTTCTTCAATTAAACCTTGTAAAATGTATCCATACTATCTTTTTAAAAAATATACTTCTATATGGTTTTCAAAGCATTTAACAGAATACTCAGCAAAAATAGGTTCTCCAAAGGTACTCTGATGGTTAACACACTATTTTTCAAAGTCTTTTTAGGAATATGCAGAAACATTATCCTAATTAAAGGGCATCTGAACTCTAGGAAACAAAGCTGATATCAGCAAAGGGTATCTTCTTTCCCTCCTGTGTAGCTTCTTTCGTCAGCCTTAAACATACAGTGACCTATCTGCAAGACCATCTGGTGGCCCAATATCAAATGATTCTTCACTTGGAAACCACTGCAGCACTCTCAGAGGATTCTGATCCATATATTAACAGCCCCGTGAACAGTGCCAAGTGGAGGGCTTCAAAACGCTGGCATTAGTGAAGTGCGTAACTTTATGATGACAATCCCCAAAGTCTAAGCACTCAGGGCAATTCAAAACTCTCATCTAGATAGTGAGGTTACACAAACTGAGGTGTTGAAGAAAAGCCCTTTTAGCAAGAGAAGGAAAGTGGATTAACACAATTCTCAAAGAACAGCACTCATCCAGGGAGACGGGAAGGGGGTACCAACCAGATCAAGCTCCTGTTTCTACTAACTACAACTTCTGCAACTGGTGCCGCCTAAGACAAAACCTTTTAAGTCAAAGAGTGAGCCAAATCGCGAGGCCGCGCGTACTCACAGCCGCCGCAGTTTGTCAAGCCCAGAGAAAGCACCGTTCATGTCTTCAATAGTCCAGGAGATCTCGTTGTTCTTCAGATCCCTAATGTTTTGAGGCATTTGCGTTAGAGACAGGCTCAGATATCTCAGACCCCCACGCCGGCAGCACATTGCTTGTAACGGGTGCCCCATCTTTCCCAGCAGCGTCCCATGCCTTCCTCAACAACAGACAATTCTTATCTCTTCAGCAGAGCTGTGACACCCTGGCCCTCCTTCCCTCAGTAACACCTGCAGTGTTTGCCCCAAATCAGCACAGCGGACTCTGGCCTTGTTAATTCCTCTATCAAGATGACTAAATTCTGCAAGATCTGAACAGTTTAAGAAAATACATTAAAACCATGGTTCCAACCACACAAAGCAAGAGTTCGCCAAAACATACATTATGTCTCTCAATTATGTAATGCTTCAAACAGCGAGCAGGGAACATATTTTTGACAGTGTGCAAGTTAAAAGCCCACTGCATGGGGCCGACGCTGTGGCGTAGCAGGTAAAACCGCCACCTGCAGTGCCAGCATCCCATATGGGCACTGGTTCATGTCCTGGCTGCCCCACTTCTGATCCAGCTCTCTGCTGTGGCCTGAGAAAGCAGTAGAAGACGTCTCAAGTCCTTGGGCCCCTGCACCCATGTGGGAGACCCGGAAGAAGTTCCTGGCTCCTGGCTTCTGATCAGTGCAGCCCTGGCCATTGCAGCCAATTGGAGAGTGAACCAGTGAATGGAAGACCTCTCTCTCTCTCTCTGTTTCTGCCTCTCTGTAACACTGCCTTTCAAATATATAAATCAATCAAAAAAAAAAAAAAAAGGCCACTGCACAATGTTGAATTCACAACAGAGATTTTTCAGAGGTCAACGAGTGCAACGCTTGGTTCTCTTTGGACAGACATCAGGTCGTGGATCTGACTGGCATGATAAACAGGCATCTTCTCTGGATGCCCCTTGTAAATCTTTTTTGCTTTGGGCTATATCTAATCTATATTGTACAGAAAAATCAGTGGACTTAAAAGTGCTTTGCTCTTAAGCAGTTACCAACTTTCTGGAGATCCTAAGAAGACAATCTGTCATCACCCAAGCCGCCGGTCCAGGAATGCAAAATGGGTCCATTTTAATTAAGCTAACCATTGCTCAAAGTGTGCACGCTTCCTTGACAACACAGGAAGTTGAAAATGGGCACACTGGCCGGCGCCGTGGCTCACTAGGCTAATCCTCCGCCTTGCGGCTCCGGCACACTGGGTTCTAGTCCCGGTCGGGGCGCCAGATTCTGTCCCGGTTGCCCCTCTTCCAGGCCAGCTCTCTGCTGTGGCCAGGGAGTGCAGTGGAGGATGGCCCAGGTGCTTGGGCCCTGCACCCCATGGGAGACCAGGAAAAACACCTGGCTCCTGGCTCCTGTCATCGGATCAGCGCGGTGCGCTGGCCGTGGTGGCCATTGGAGGGTGAACCAACGGCAAAGGAAGACCTTTCTCTCTGTCTCTCTCTCTCACTGTCCACTCTGCCTGTCAAAAAAAAAAAAAAAAAAAAAAGAAAAGAAAAGAAATGGGCACACTGAGGAGCCAATCAGGTTTTTGTACCAAGAGCAAATGGGTAACTTACAAAGTCTTCAGACTGGAAAGCCCCCGGAAGGCACAGTCCGCAATGTAGCTCAGTTTGTTGTTTCCGATGTGCAGTGTGTTCAGTAAGCCCAGGCCGAGAAAGCTTGAATCATCTAATCTTGATAAGTGATTGAAAGTTAGGTCTCTATAAAGAAAAAAAAAAAACAGCTTTTTTTTTTTTCAGTTCAACACAATGATTTGTTTTCCAAAAGACAGGTAATTAAATGTAACTACAATAATCCCTATTTGAAAATCCTGTCTTAACAGGACTCAAGTAAACACTATTTCTAACCTTGGTAATTAAACAAAAAATACCTGCTCGTCATCTAAAAATAACCATCACTGCTGCTGCCTGTGAGTCACAGAGCTACAGCAGCAGGGCTGGCTTCCCCTTCTCACAACAGACCCCGACCAGGGTCCATGTGGAAAAGGCTGTCACCTTGGCAACTTTGTTATGAAAATGTCACAGCCCAGTGGTGAGCAGCTCGTGCTCTGGCAGGAGCCCTGCTCTCGAAGCTGGGGAGAATAAAAGGCGACTCACAGCTCACTGAGCTTCTGGCAGAACTCCCAGGCATCCGGGCTGATCCTGTTGATGGCGTTTTGGCTGAGATGTAGCTCCTGCAGCATCAGCAAGCCGTACAGCCAGCCTTTGGTGATCTCGGTTAGGTTGTTATGGTCCAGCTGCCTGCATTGACAGTAAGAATCAAAGACAGGATCAGAGTTTACCACCTAGTCTCTTCAAAGGGGACACAGAATTAAAACCTATTCCAAAGTGTTACTGGATACTCAAACGCTGTTATATGAAGACATCAGCAAAAAAGGTATAAATTCATTTTTTATTTAATTTCTTTTTTTAAAAAAAACTTGAGAGGCAGCAGGAGAGAGAAAGAGAGAGAGAGAGAGAGAGACAGAGAGAGTTTCCATCCACTGGCTCACTCTGCAAATGTCCACAATGGCCAGAGCGGAAGCTGGGATCTCAATTCAGGCCTCCCAAGGACACAGCAGGAAACCAATAACCTGCACTGTCACTGCTGCCTGTCAGGGTCTCAATTAGCGGGAAGCTGGAGTCAGGAGCCAGAGCCAGGTATTGAACCCAGAGACTCTGATATGGGACACAGGCATCTGACCCACTAGGCCAAATGCCTGCTCCCTATATTTTTATAATGTATGTGTTTATAAGTTCTCAATCACATGACCTGAGACAAAACTGAATACTAAATTATGAAAAGGTTGCAAATTATGAGATGTTAACATCAGATTTCAAATATGAGCTACAGAATATTCAGTGGGTATTCTACAATCACATAACCTGAGTGGAGATTTCTTGATAACCCACACTTACAAGATTTCCATGTTGCTCAGCCCCCAAAATGCTCCATCCATAAGTTTGGTTACTCCGTTTCTTTGCATCTTGAGAGACTTCAGAGCACCAAGCCCTTGGAATGTGAGTCCATCTACATTTTTAATCTTGTTTCGGTTCAGTTCACTGCAGTGGATACCAGAATTAAAAGGTTACATGTAAATGACAAGTTCTGGAGGTGGCAATAAAATGTGTCATTACTACAATCGTATTAAAGCCAGTGTTAAATTACACAGAATGTTTCAAATTTATTCAATATTTTTATTGAGATGAATTTCAATCTACTGAAATAATAAAAGTATAAAAGCTAGACTGCACTTTCCATTTCTGAACTGTTGTTCGCTTAGTAGAGAGGAAAAACAAATCAGTATTTGTTTCTAAGTGATAAAGGATGACAACTGAATGGTACATTAAAACATGAAGCCTCTTTAACAGCAGGAATGTCAAGTTTATCCTGTTCAATCTGCTTACAAAATTGGCTCCTATCTTCCACGGTTCCTTTTAGGGTTAATGCCTTCTCTTTAAACAATAATTCTCAAACTTGGTTGCACACTGGAAGCATCTGGGGAGGTTTTAAAATTACTGAACCCTGGGTCTCACCCTAGAGGTTTTAATGTAATTGGCCTGGGGTGTGGTCTGGGCACTGGGGTTTTTAAAAGCTCCCCAAGTGTCTGTAATGAGCAGCCGAGGTTGAAAACCACTGTAGCAGGAGCCAGATCACAGATCGCTCCACTATCATTAACAAGACAGTTCTCTATGGCCACTTAGGCTCTCTGAGTCGTGGGTATCCGTTCGGAGTCCCCATGATTTCAGTGCCACAGTGGCATAATGTGTCTTGTCAGGCAGCCATGGCATGAGGGGTGCTGCTAACAGTTCAGACTCTCCAAGCAAAGGCAGCCACATTCTTGCTTTGAAACTCCATTTGCAAACTCCAAAGGTGTGGGGCAGGCGAGGAAGGGGTGTCTACGAAGACACTTCACTTACAGGTGTTGCAGCTGGGGCAGTTTGAACATCTTGGGGGGGATAACTGAAATCCGGTTCCTGTTCAGTTTCAGCACCAGCAGTGTGTTGCCCAGATTGTCAAAACACCCGGGCTCCATTGATGTGACTCGGTTGCTGTTGATAAACCTGTTGAAAATTTGAAGGTGAGTGTCTCTTTCTGATTTCTTTGGGAAGTTAAGGTACATGCAACTTCCTTATTATAAACAATCTCCAGAGATCTTAACCATCAACGATACTTAAAATTATTGCTTAGGTTCTTGTGGACAAATGTTGATTAAGATTCATACAAATATTGCTGGGGAAAAAGGGATAGGAATATTGGAAGGTTGCAAAAAATGTATTATGGATACCTACCTGCTTTTATTAAACTCACTTATTCACAAAATATAGCAATGATTTAACTTTGATTTTTCTTAAAGAAGCCCTTTTCACAAACTGTTATTCTTCCAAAAAATATCTAACTTTTTTTAATCCACACACATTAAGAATAAAATGAAGCTTACAGTTATGTGGGCTTACAGCAAATTTCATGTCAATAAGATTACAGGTTTTCACCAGCACAAAGATAGAATTAGTTTTATCTTACAAGTTTATTTTTCTTTCATTGTAATAATATTACAGCTAAAAACTTTGATAAAGAAAACATCACTTACAGATATTTGAGTTGTAGGGGTGGAAATGCAGTTTTAAGCTCTGAAATATTGTTGCTACTCAAGTCCAAAGTTTCAAGGGATTGATATTGTTTCAGATGTTCAGGTAATACTTCAGCAATCCTGTTTCCAGCCCTGAATTAAAACATGGCACAGAAAACAACAATCTGAAATGCAGAAAAATACTTTATTATCTATCCCTAACTGTCCTTCAGAAATAGAGAAAACTGAACTAAACAATAACTTTAGAAGTTAAAAAGCAATATCATGGCCACTTTCAATTATTCACCAAGTCATAAATCATAATATGATTTATGAAAAGTGGAGCCGGCTTTGTGGGACAGTGGGTAAACAGGCGCTGGTTCATTTTCTGGCTGCTCGACTTCTGACCCAGCTCCCTGCTCATGGCCTGGGAAAAGCAGTAGAAGATGGCCCAAGTGTTTGGGTCCCTGCCACCCACGTGAGAGACCCTGATGAAGCTCCTGGCTTTGGCCTGGCCCAGTGCTGACCATTGCAGCCATCTAGGGGGTAAACCAGTGGATAGAAGAAGATCTCTCCATCTCTCTCTGTAACTGACTTTCAAAATAAATAAGTCTTTAAAAGAAAAAAGAATACATGAAAAGGCATTTCCCTGTAAATATGGGTTCCCAGCAGCTGTTTAACTGCTATATACCTAAAGATCATTATTTGGGCTGGTGCTGTGGTGCAGTCCTCCCGCTGTGATGCACCGGCATCCCATATGGGCCCAAGTTCTAGTCCCAGCTGCTCCTCTTCCGATCCAGCTCTCTGCTATCGCCTAGGAGAGCTGTGGAACATGGCCCAAGTCCTTGGATCCCTGCACCCACGTGGGAGACCAGGAGGAAGCACCTGGCTCCTGGCCTCGGATCAGCCCAGCTCCAGCCACTGAGGCCATCTGGGCAGTGAACCAGCAGATGGAAAACCTTGCTCTCTGTCTCTCCCTATCATTGTCTGTAACTCTACCTGTCAAATAAATAAATAAAATTTTTAAAAGAATACAAGATAACTATTTGTTTTTTTTAGTGCTTTTAAAAATTGTATTATGATTATTTTAGTTGAGAGGTAAAAACATACAGAGAAAAAGAGAACACATGAGAACAAGAAAGCTCCCCCTCACTGATTCCCTCCCTAGATGCCCGCAAAGGCCAGGACTCGGCTGGGGAAAGCTGCGGCTATAATCAGATTTCCCACGCCAGTGCACAGGATGAGAACCAGCACCCATAAGGGATGCCGTTGCCATAGCTGGAGGCTTAGTCCACTATGCCACAGTGTCAGGCCCTGCTCCACTTTTTTTTTTTTTTTTTTTTTTTTTTTTTTGACAGGCAGAGTGGACAGTGAGAGAGAGAGACAGAGAGAAAGGTCTTCCTTTGCCGTTGGTTCACCCTCCAATGGCTGCCGCAGCCGGCGCGCTGCGGCCGGCGCACTGCGCTGATCCGAAGCCAGGAGCCAGGTACTTATCCTGGTCTCCCATGGGGTGCAGGGCCCAAGGACTTGGGCCATCCTCCACTGCACTCCTGGCCACAGCAGAGAGCTGGCCTGGAAGAGGGGCAACCGGGACAAAATCTCGCACCCCGACCGGGACTAGAACCCAGTGTGCCAGTGCCACAAGGCGGAGGATTAGCCTAGTGAGCCACGGCGCCGGCCTCCGCTTCTGGTCTAGCTCTCTGCTATGCCCTGGGAAAGTAGCAGATGGCGGCCAAAGTCCTTGGGCCTCTGCACCTGCGTGGGAGACCCGGAAGAAGCTCCTGGATCCTGACTTTAGATTGGTGCAGTTCCGGCCATTGTGGCCATTTGGGGATTGAGCCAACGGAAGGAAGACCTTTCTCTCTATCTCTGCCTCTCTCTGAAACTTTCAAATCTTAACACACACACACGCCAGTCTAAATAATCCCTGGGTGTAATTAGATTAAAATATTTTTTACATTACCACTCTTAACATCATGTGATGGCCAGTACAGCAGCCACTTGCCACATATGGCTCTTTAAATTAACTGTTAAAATTAGGTCCTTAGTCACAGAAGCTGTATTTCTTAAAGATTTCATTATTTATTTGAAAAGCAGAGTTACAGAGAAGGAGAGACAGAAAGAGATGGATCTTCCATCCACATGTTCATTCCACAAATGGCCACAACGGCCAGGACTCAGCAAGGCTGAAGCTAAGAGCCAAAAACTCTATCTGGGTCTCCCGCATGGGTGGCAGGGTCCCAAGTAGTTGGACCATTTTCATCAGCTTTCCCAGGCGCATTAGTAGGGAGCTTTATGGGAAGCGGAGCAGCAGGGACTCAAACCAGCTATGGGATGACAATGTTGCGGGCAGCGGCTTAACCTGCTGGGCCACAAGGCCAACCCCAATACACTCTTAAAATTAGGAAAGTAGGGTTTCTTATCTAACAAGTCCAGGCATTCCCGAGATGTGTCACAGAGTAAGGCCAGGCTGATCGCAAAGCAAACCATGAAGGCTTGTTTTACAGAATACAGAGTCTGAGAGACTCCAGTAGTTCTGAGATGGGCACGTGCTTCCACAGAGACCAAACGTGGGGTTTCAAAGTGATACAGGAAGGCACCGGGGCTCGCTGAGCTGCCACTGTGCCAACACAAAGAAAGGCCCAGCCCACCGCCCCTGCCTACTCTGCTTGAACCTACCCCTACTACGTGAGAGGGGCTCTCCAGGGGCAAACATCAGGTGCTGCTTCCTCCGTGAGAACAGGGGCAGGACACAGGGCAGTGTTATTTTATACATAAGCAATAATAAACTGACACAGCTTCCTAAATACTGTTGAAAACCCTCTCAGCATGACTTTTAAGAACGGGGAGGCGGTGTTTTAGCTTTAAAATCCAAGTCAAATCCTACACAAGGTAATAAGCATAAACAACGAATATTTTAAGAGCTAGATTCTGTGTGATGGTAAAGAGGAAAAAATAAGAAAGGATTAGCTTCCTGGGTACCAGTCCCGGACGGCAAGCCCTTCAGATTCCCATGAAGCCTTACAGCTTTTTGTTTAGAGTCAAGTCAGCCACGACCTCTGATTGTGGCCATTTCCCACATCTGGGTTCGCCAGCGCATAAACTCCTTGATCTAGTTGTGAGGTACAGAGTAGACCGAGTGAGACAATTAGTCAATTTCTGGGCCCGGAGATGGATTCAGTCCAACAGACAAGCCACAGGGCCTTAGGGTCAGGGTGTGTGGGTTAAACAAAACCACACGTTGGGGGACAAAACGTTTCTCTTAAGTACATAATCCAATTGTTTGCTTTAGCAGGATGTCCTCCCACCAGCATTGCAAGAGCCCTCCAGCGCCTGAGCCCCTCTCTCCAAACGCTTCCCCTGTCCCTGGCCACGCTCTCCCTTCAAACTCTGCATCTGGTTTTGCCCCCCGCCCTCCACCCCCAGACTGTCTGGGGGCTAGCACAGCTACACTTACATTTAACAGCAACAAAAAAGAAAACACTCAGCTTTAGCTTTAGCAATAAATGGAGCAGAATCATTTCAGGGGGAGCAGGGGCGGGGAGAAGGAGACCCGCAGGTGTCTATCACGTTGGTCAAATAAGGCTACAGGTTAGATAACAGACCATACAATCGCTGGTTTATATATTCGTTTGTTTATAAGGTAATTATGAACAAGGTATTAAAACTGCCAATTACTTGAGTGACGAATAAAATTTTCCTTGCAGTAAAAATATGCCCCAGCCAAAGCCAGCAATTTCCTGAGCTGCACACCTCCTAAATTGCAGTGTGAAAGTGCTCAGTTATAGACGGAGCCTGCACAGTGCCGTCTTTGTCAGCTCTGCTCTCTCGTACAAAAATCCCTTACAACTGCCAGGATAATAGCCCCTGTATCGCAAAAATTTAAATCTGTCCTAATGGAACTGAATTAAATCCAAATACCAGTTTCTTATTAACTCTCAGACCAACTGGCAAACAACCACCTGATAGGGCCCATTCAAAACAAAAAAACAAACAAACAAAAAAGCCTGGCTTTCTATCATAAAAAAAAAAATAGAGAGAGAGAACCCCAACCACACTGAAAAATCTAGATTAAACATCTTCATCATCTGAGACCCAAGAACCATCATATTTTACGCAGTGGGTCACCAACAGCCACTTCTGGAAGACAAAGATTTGTTTTCACTCCAGCTTTTTCTCCAAATATGGATAAATGCCCAAACAGATCAATACATTAAAAAGCCTTGTAGTTAATTAATATTTTTTGGCAGGAAACAGGCAACACTTAAAGAGAAACAAAACTGTGCGAACACTTTTTTCCATTGCTTTAAGGTAATGTGGAAATGCCCCTTCCCCAGTGTTCCCAAGATCATGATATAGTACTCCACGTACTGGACGGTGTTCCAGGCTCTCCATGCAAATCCCTACTAGAGGCTAGGAATATTTTGGTCTTCTATGTTGATAGTACAGGGAGTTTCACAGTGGAATCATCACTGAGGTGAAGTATAATTAGTCCCTTGTGGACAGGCAGACTCGGGGGTTTGGTTGGTCAGGAACCAGGAAAAACAGGGGCCACAGGTATTTCAGCCGTGGCTTCTCGGGTCTAACCATGATGGTTTGATTTTGTTGCCATTTTCAGCTTCAGCCAACTTTGAGAAATATGTTTAAAATGCAGAGGCCACCAGGGCTTACTATCGTTTTCATCTGATGGTACGTGCTCCCAGGGCTGGAGCGAACAAGACGGATATGGCCCTTGACCTCAGCAGGCTGAAAGTCCAGTGAGAACAGCAGGCAAGGGCAGAGGCCAACACTGAGATAAAGGCTAAGATAAGGACGGGAGAGAGGGCAGTGGGAGCAGAAAGAACAGGCTCCCAGGGCGGAGGGAGAGGGTAGGAGGTTGACGAAACTTCTCACAAGGAGTGAAGACTAGGACGGATAAGGAGCCGACTGGGCAAGGGAGACGGGTGGCTGGCATCCCATGCGGAGGCAAGTGGGAGCAAAGCGAGACTTCTTGCCTCCGAGGAAACAGAACATCTTGACGGCTGGAGGATGGAGTTCAGGGTGGGAACGGGAGAAAGACAAAGCTCATGAGTGCGTGGCTGGAGGGGGCAAGAAGAAGTCAAGCATGGAGGTATTTGGCCTTGATCTCAAGACTAGCCCTGAGGGAGGCCAGT